CCCCAGTAGCTGGGACTACAGGTGCCCACCACCACACCTGGCTAGTTTTTATATTTTTAGTAGAGATGGGGTTTCACCATGTTGGCCAGGCTGGTCTGGAACTCCTGGCCACGGCCTCCCAAAGTGCTGGGATTACAGGCATGAGCCACTGTGCCTGGCTGTTAACTAGTTTTATTAAACCCTACAAGCTCTAAAACATGAGACAAGGCTTTCCAGAGTAAATGGGATGATAAAAAGGTAAAATTCCCTAGAAGCCTGTTTTCACCAACTTGCAAAAAGTCAAAGAGCTGATTTCTTTCTGTTTATTCTTTAAAAGGTTCGGCCTGCACCTTCAGTACACACTGTGGAAGGACAGCCCCATAGTCACAGCGGCTGTTCAGGGACAGCGCTTCCCAGTCATCCAATCCACAGCCAGGAATCTCGACAAGCAGCAAAAGAAAAGTCACTCATCACCTACGAGAGAGGCTCCGTGAGAGACACAGTCAACTTCCCATCAGAAACCATGAGCGTCTGAACACGCGGAGGGCACGTTCAGAGTGCAGAAGAGAAAGGGAACTAGGCTGGGCAAGCTGAAGGCAGGGTGGTCCAGGAACGGGCTGGGACTCCCAGCCCCCATCTGTTCTCAGGGACAAGTCCTGGCTGAGATCCACGCAGCTCAGGAAGGTGGCGACCCCAGGCCATGGGCCTCGCTGAGGATGCCTGGAAATCTTCATCAGCCCAGCTGGCTCAGGTGGAGATGGAGGCTCCAGGACAACGCGGGATGGGAGGAGGGTGAGTAAACACCAGGCCTGCTCCAGCACCTCTCCCTGGCCTCCAGCCTGCAGCCCACCCTAACCCTCCCTCAGCAGGGCTGACAATGGACAGGGGCATGGATGTCCCAGGTGCTGTCAGAGAAGAGGGTGAGCCAGCTGTGTCCTGAGTGCCTGTGACAGGTCCCAGTGGCAGGAACTTCAGGTAGGGAGGAGGAGATCCCACACAGTCCTGTCACCATGGCAGGGCAGGTGTGTGACCCGGGCGGTTTCACGTGCGCAGCGCAGAGGGGAGCGTGCGCTGGGTATAGGACAATGGGCATGGCAGGTGAGGGGAGGCACAGGTGGGTGGGTGTGATAGGCACACAACCACCACTGCTGAGCACTTCCCTACAAAGTGCCAGGTCTACCAGTCCTGAGGGTCCACAGGGGGCCTGGCATCCCTGCAGAATCCTTGGGCCCTGTGCCCTCCTGGCAGCCCTGTGACACATGCCCCAGGCCTGGAAGGGTGGCCCAGCAATGCCCTCAGGGTCGGAGAAGTGGGTGGAAGGAGAGGAGCTGCATCCACTCTCCTCCTGAGTTTCCTGTGCTCTCTCCAGGATCCCAGGCCATCCTGGGGTATCCGGCCAGGGACTGGAGACCTGGGGAGGCCTGGGCCTGAGACAGGTGAGTTTCTTCTGCCACCTTAGGCCTCAGGGCCCCTCCCATCTTTGAGCCCCCACTCAGGCTGGCTCTCAGAATCCCCCACCGTTCCCATGAAATGTGTGCACATGCCCCTCTCCCAGGTCCCCACCAGTCTCTAGGGTGCACGCCTACCATGGGGGGAGTGGGGGCAAAGCCTCCAGAGCTAGGCTGGTGGAGGCTTCAGGTGGCCCTGGAGCTCCCCCCTCTCCCAGCCCTGTTCTTGATCCCCACCCCAAGGCTCTCCTGGGCCCCACAGGCTGAGGCTACTCCTAACCCTACAGCCAGCAACGCCCTCACCCCTCCCGAGTGCGGCACTGGAAGTCCCTGCTGGCCTCCTGGCTAGGTGAGGGCTGCCAGACACAGAGGAAACAGGACTCCGTGATCGGAAAGGGACTTCTCTCGGCCTCTGCTCATGGAGCTGGAGACCAGCCTCAGGGTGGGGCTGGGTGGGAGGGGTGAGCACAGCTGTACCCCACCCCACTCACCCCAAACCCCAGTCACCCTCTGACCCACACTGCTCTCCACGCTTCTGCCCAGCCCTGCCCAGGTCCCATATATCCTGCCCAGTGGCCCCTCCCCACCCAGCCCCCCAGAGCAGGTCCACTTGGGGTTGTCATGGTACCTGCAGCTCCGCAAGCTGACATCTGTGCTTCCCATCTCAGCAGGGGCAGGCAGCCCGGATGAAGAAAGAATAAGGGCAGAGGGCACCCCATGCCTAAGACCCACCCACCCCAGGACCCTTCCAGAGGCTATCATAAGGCCCACACACACACAGACACACACACAATTACAGCCCACAGTCTGGTCACTTGCAGGAGGTGAACCTTCTCCACTTGCAGGTCAGGCCTCAGCGGGGTCACTGAGAACCCACCAAATCCTCCCACATCACCTGCCTTCAAGGCAGCCCGCCTGCCAGGAAGGGCGGGGAGAACCCCGGACTCTGTTGGTCTCGCTCCAGTTCAATCCCTCTCTCTCTCTCTCTCTCCCTGCCGCTTATCCTGTCTCTGTATCTTTCCCCCTCATTCTCGGAGACAGCCTCCCTCTTATACAACAGGTCTCTTTCCCACTGCACCTCCCACCATGTCTCCCAATGTCTCTCATTCATTTTCTGAAATACTCAATCCCTTTCACACACGACTTTCTCCATCTCTCTCATTGATACACACACTCTCCCCCCATCCCTGCCTCTCTCTCTCTCTCACACACACAGAGGCAGACTCAGCCCTTCAGGGTCTATGCCCTGAGCTAAGCCCCGCTGAGAGGCAGCTTGTCTGGGGATTGCGGGGAGCACTCATGCCCACATGGGATGTGCCCGTGTGGACAGCGCTTGGCCCTGTATGTACCCACTGTGGATCCTTCACTGGGCAACCAGGCTGGGCTTGGACCAATGCAGGTGGAACTAAGCCAAGACTCTGAAGGCCAGGGCAGGGTCAGCTCCAGCCTCAGCATTCACCCTAAACCAGGCGCTGTGGAGAGGAGCGTGAGCCACCAGGCAGGCCCAGGCTGGAGAGCTCACCGCCTAGCAGGGACGGATGGCAGGAGACTTGCCACTCAGACCAGGGAAGGATGACAGGGACCCCAGGCACAGGCGCAGGTGTCAGCAGAGACCACACCAGTGGGGGTCCCCTAGAGCAGGTGCGGGGTGGCACCCAGGGTTGGAGGGTCACAGGCCACTGGCATGGCTCAGCCCAGTTCTCACAGGGCATCCTCCATCTCTATAACCATGGAGTCAATGTCACCACTGGGCATGAAATGGAGACGCTGCTGTTGGCAAATGAGCTTGGAGAGTGGGGCCAAGACTTGTGGGTGTCAAGTGAGGTGTCACAACTGGGGCCTGACTTCACAGCGGCCGAGACGAGAAGGCTGAGGAGGACACCCCAGGAGAGAGTGGCTCCAGCGGAGGGAACTGCAGTGCACACCTCCGGGGGAGGAAGTGGAGCGGCAGCCACCAGCCCTGGCAATGCGGGGCCCAGGGACCCAGAGAGAAAGGGCAGAGTGTGGCCTAGTGAGGCCACTGCCCTTCCCTTGGCTGTGACCTTTGACAAAGCGTGTTCCTTGGGTGGGGTTAGGGGGACTCCAAGCTGTTATGACTCAGGCCAGCTGGCAGGAGCGTGCATGGTGACCGGGATGGAGCAGGGTTCACTGAGGCAACCGCATGGATGTAAGAGCAGGGTCCACCATGGCACACGCAGAGAAAGGGGAGAAGGACTGGGTTGGCAACAAGGAGAAACCCGGCTCAAAGCAGGTTTGAGGGAGAAAGCAGAGAGGACGGTTCAGAGAACAGCTTTGCAACTGACCAGTTCAAAGGGAAAGCAGCCCAGGTCAAGCGCAGTAGCTCACGCCTGTAATCCCAACACTCTGGGAGGCCAAGGTGGGCTCACTTGAGGTCAGGAGCTTGAGACCAACCTGGCCAACATGCTGAAACCCTGTCTCAACTAAAAATACGAAAAGTAAGGCCGGGCACGGGGACTCATGCCTATAATCCCAGAACTTTGGGAGGTCGAGGTGGATGGCTCGCTTGAGGCCAGGAGTTCCAGACCAGTCCTGGCCAACATGGTGAAACCCCAACTCTACTAAAAGTACAAAAATTAGCCAGGCATGGTGGCGCATGCTTGTAATCCCAGCTACTTGGGAGGCTGAGGCAGGAGAATTGCTTGAATGTGGGAGGCGGAGGTTGCAGTGAGCCAGGATCGTGGCACTGCACTGCAGCCTAGGTGACACAGCAAGAGTCTGTCTTAAAAAAAAAAAAAAAATAGCTGGGCATCATGGTGCACACCTGTAGTCCCAGCTACTCAGGAGGCTGAGACATGAGAATTACTTGGGACAATTAATTGGGAGGCAGAGGTTGCAATAGGCCCAGATCGTGCCAATGCACTCCAGCCTGGGTGACAGTGCAACACTCCGTCTAAAAAATAAAATAAATATATAAATTTTAAAAAGCAGCTCAGCTCGCAGGGAAGAGACAGCCAGCACCAGAGCCTCCATACCTTGACTTTACTCTCTGGCCCCACTGGGATTACCTCCTCCAGGAAGTGGCCCCTGGTCCCGCTGAAAGCCCCACTCTGAGATGCAACGCACTCCACGCTGTGGAAGTTCCTGGTTAAGGATCCCTGACCGTCCCTGTACTTGCCGGCTCAGTCCACCAGGAGGCGCCCGCGCCATGCCTCGGCCCTGCTGGACTCCGGGACCGCCACTTCCCTGCGGGCGCCTCCTGGTGTTCCCTTGGGCTTGGTCTGTACAGCCCAGCTGGTTCTGGGCGCCTGGCCCAGCCCCGCGGGTGATTCACTGACCTCGCACCTGAAGGTGGGAGAGGAAGCGGAGAGCAGCAGCCAAGAGACGGGTCCAGGCTCTCCCAGAAACCAGCGACTTCAGTCCAAACGTCCCCTGTACCCGCGGAGATTCCACATCAGGACCAGGCTCCCCCACGTCCAGACCCCACATTCCCATCAGTGTGTCCCAGGGAGCACGGAGGGACCGCCACACTGCATTTCATGGGGCGACCGCCCTCAACACCCCTACACACACAGAACCCCACACTACCCTAAAGTCTGAAAGGCGGACACGCAATCGAGGTTTTAGAGGAATTTATACAAAAGTCCTGACACCACAAGGTTCTTACCACCTGAAAACCAGCTCCATGACAGACAAATTAGGCACTTGTGAGTTTGCCGGAATTTGGTTTAAAAATAACAAGGCTGGTCCAAGATCTTAGAAGAAAATTATATTCTTTTAAAGAAAATGAAAATATCCTCAAGGGAAAAACTTAATTTAAGTCAAATCCTGTCCTTTTGTCTTGGAACCCCGTGCCCCGCGCGCAAACACAGGATTTCCTGCAGCGCGGCCAGGGCGCCCCCGTCATCGCTCCTGAGCGATACCCGGGGCTGCAGCCGCACGGGGTATTTTCCCGGGCTAAGCAGGGGAGTGGGGGGTGGGGGGCGCCAAGCCAGGAGCCCTGGAAGAGGGAGCAGGGCGGCAAGTGGGGCCGCAAACACCCATCAAAGTCCCCAGGACCAATTCCCACAGTGACCACGTGGCCACAGGCAGTGAGTGCCCTTTGCAGGCCTGCTCCCTAAGGGTGTCATTCCTAACCCCCTCCTGGGACCCCACCTAATCCAGGCACCCTCCCACCCACCAGTGGGCACTGCGCTAGGAGATGCAGGAACACCCATGTCCCTGCCAGCCCCGCCTTCCAGACCACACCCCGCCTTCCAGACCACACCCCGCCTTCCAGACCACACCCTGCCTTCCAGACCACACCCCGCCTTCCAGACCACACCCTGCGTGGGAGCGCGCTTTGCGGAGGGCGGGGGGGTGTCCCCAGGTCCCTGAACAACGGACAGCAGCTCCCGCCCACGAATGCAGCCGGGTCACCTCGCACCCCTGACCAGGGCTGGGGCCCTCTCCAGCCTGGTGACCCACGGCCTACTCTGAGGCTGCAGCGCGCAGGGGGCCTCCAAGTGGAAAGCTGGTGATGGGGTGGGTGGGAGGCAGGGCCCGCAGGGAAGTGACTTGAGCAGGCACAGACGGTGAATAAATAGAAGCTTCCACGCGGGGGTCCGGCCCCTGCAGACAGCAGCTCGGTGGGAAAGTGGGATTAGAGGGAGCTCCTCCGACACTGACCGGGGCCACCCACGCAGGCCCTCCCTCCACACCCACACCCACCCCGGCCCTGGGACGGGTTTTCCCCTGCTCAGAGCTCAGTGACGTGCACAGTAGGTGAGGGAACAGGCCCAGGTTGGAGGCGCCGTAGGTGGCAACGACGACACAGCAGGTGGCCCGCCAGGGGGTAGCAGCGGCGTCCCTCCTCCCCGCTCAGCTGCAGCCCGCAGTCCTAGGGAAGAACACAGCCCCCAGCCCCAGAGTCAGCAGACAAGCGCACATCAGAGGTCATGAGGCGGGGCGGGGAGGACCGAGGGGCGGGGCAGAGCCGCAGGGGACCGCATAACAACAAAGACTCTTCTGCCCCGCACAGGGGCTCACACCTGCAATCCCAGCACTTTGGGAGGCTGAGGCGGCTGGATCACCGCCTCGGTCAGGAGTTCGAGACCAGCCTAGCCAACATGGTGAAACCCTGTCTCTACTAAAAATACAAAATTAGCCGAGCATAGTGGCACATGCCTGTAATCCCAGCTACTTGGGAGGCTGAGGCTGAAGAATCGCTTGAACCCGGGAGGTGGAGGTTGCAGAGCAGAGGGCCTGACATTGCATTCCAGCCTGAGTGACAACAGCAAAACTCCGTCTCAAAAAAAAAAAACCAAAAAAAAGACTCTTCTTCTGCCAGAGGGGGGATGGGAAGCCCGGTGTGGAGCAATGGGGACTGGAGCTGCCTCTCAGGCATCCAAGAGGAAGTCACTGGATATAAGTCAGACTATGGGGAGAGGACTAGGCAGTCAACGTGGGTGTCAGCGTAAAAATCTGATGGTTTGGGTGTGTTTTGTTTATTCGTTTGTTGTTTATTGTTTGCTTGAGACAGGGTCTCTCACTGTCGCCCAGGATGGAATGCAGTGTCTGGATCCCGGCTCACTGCGGCCTCGACCTCCAGGGCTCAAGTGATCCTCCCACCTCAGCCTCCTGAGTAGCTGGGACCACCGGCGCACCCCGCCACACCCTGTGAATTTTGCTTATTTTTTGTAGTGATGGGGTTTCACGTTGCTCAAGCTGGTCTAGAACTCCTGACCTCAAGCTATCCTTCGCCTCAGCCTCCCAAAATGCTGGGATTACAGGCATGAGCCACTGTGCCTGGCCTCTTTTTGTTTATTAGACAAGGTCTCACTGTCACCCAGGCTGAAGTGCAGTGGTGCGATCTCAGCTCACTGCAGCCTCAAACTTCTGGGCTCAAGCAATCCTCCCACCTCAGCCTCCCAAGTAGCTGGGACTACAGACACGTGCCACCACGCCCGGATAATTTTTGTCCCTTCTATTTTGTAGAGATGGCATCTTGCCACGCTGATCAGGCTGATCTTGAACTCTTGGCTTCATAACCATCCTCCCACCTCAGCCTCCCAAAGTGCTGGGATTGCAGGTGTGAGCCACTGCGCCCAGCCAAACGTGACGGTTTTTAAATACCAAACAGCAGACTACCTCTTCCAGGGAGTGCAGACCACTAGAAAAGAGAAGAGGGCAAGCAGCAGAACCTTCCATGAGGAGGTAGGAAGAGAAGAGGCCTGGGCTGGGGAGATTCCAGGAGAAACGAAAGTGAAGAAAACCAAAAGCCGGCAGCCCCAAGGGCAAAGTGAAGCAAGTGCAGGGAGGAGGGAGCGGCCCTGTGCTCCAAGCTGCTGGGGGGGCCCGGAAGGAAGTGTCCACCAGTTCCCGCCACACAGGGGTCCCTGGAGCAGAGTGGAGGGAGGAATGCCACCCCCAGGTGGTCTGAAGAGGCAGTGGTGAGTAGACCTGCAGACAGCAGGGGAAGCAGGGGGCTGCCTTCACGTCCCTTATCTCACTGTTTTTACCTTTGCGAGCTTGGGGCTGGAATGCTGGCAGCTTTGACCCGTTATCCAGAGCCCCTGACACCAACACCTGGCCCGCCCTGCACGGGGAAGGGAGCTGGACTGCCGCAGTGGCACCGCCTCACTCCTTTCCCTGGTCTCTCGCCCGTCCCACCACAGGCGACTGCTGCGCACCAGGCCAGGGAGGAGTGTGGGGTCCCAGAGGTATCAATCCCCCCCATCCAGCAGCCTCATCGCAGCACAGCAGCACCACCAGCCGCCTGCCCTGCTCTGACTCTCAGTGTCAACCTTTTGCTGTGCTCGGTACTGGACAATCCCCAGGCCGCACAGTCCACAGGACGGCCCAGCAGGTAGAGGGACGCGGAGGTCCTGTTAGTGCTGGAGGGGAGCCCTGGCCCCTCTGCAGACCATCTCTGTTCCTCGTCCTCCCTCCTGGGTCCCCTGGCACGATCAGTGCTCCCATGGGGCCACTCGCCTGCACCCAGGAGACCTTGTCACCCAAGGGGATCCCTGATTGCTACTGCACATTCCTCACTGCCACTTGCTCTGCTCTTGCTGGGGCGCGGTCGCCGGCAGCCTCCTGGTTCTCCTGCCCAGGCCTCCTCGGCCTCCCTTTGTGGCCACTTCGCCTGTGTGTGTCCTTAAGTGGTGGTGCTCCTTGAGCTATCCTGACCCCCACTCCTTCTTTTCCAACTCACCCTGGAAGACCTCATATGCTCCCTGGCTTCAGCTGCCGTCCCTGCGTCCATCATGGGACCCCTGCTTCCCGCCAGAACAGAGGAAAAGAAATTGGATTTCCCCTCCCACCTTCAACAACGAGAACAACAGGCTAAAGAGATGACAGTGACTCTCAGACCCCGGACAACAGACCAGGGAGGCCCATCATCTCTCAGAGAGGGGAAACCCAGCAGGTACACCCCACACCGCCCGACTGACCACCTGGAGACTGCTCCGGCTGCCCAGGGGAGCCCCGTGGTCTCCTTGAGTCGAGAATCTGGGGAGGCCAAGGCAACTGGAATTCCCAGGGCCAAGATTCAGAGAAGAAGGTCTGGTGTGGTGGCTCACGCCTGTAATCCCAGCACTTTGGGAGGCCAAGGTGGGTGGATCACTTGAACTCAGGAGCTTGAAACCCAGCACAGCCAACATGGTGAAACCCTGTCTCTACTAAAAACACAAAAACTAGCTGGGCATGGTGGTAGGCGCCTGTAGTCCCAACTACTCAGGAGGGTGAGGCAGGAGAATTGCTTGAACCCAGGAGGCAGAGCTTGCAGTGAGCTGAGATGGCGCCACTGCACTGCAGCCTGGGCAACACAGTGAGACTCGTTTCAAAAAAAAAGAAAAAGATTCAGAGAAGAGAGCACCACACATCAGTGACCCCAAATTCCCACAGCTGTCGGCAGGGTCGTTGAACCCCAGCCCACTTACAGGTCTACTGGACATCTCCAGCTACCAAAAATGAGAGCGTCTCATCCCCTCTTCCCCCGACCTCACTCTTTGCTGGGGTTCTCATGAATACCTCCCAACCCCCAACCCTCAACCCCCCACATCCAGACACTCGCCAAATCCAGTCCTTTCTATAGCCTGACCATCACTCAAGTCAGCCACTTCCCTGAACCCGGGCCCCCAACCCTGACCCCTCCAGCTGCTCAGGGAGCACCTACCTTCACTCCCTCCCCCAATTCACTCTCTGCAGGGCAGGAAACGGATAGATAGAATGGGGTAGATGCCATAAAATAGGTGAGGCCATCGCAGTGGCTCACGTTGTGTCCCAGCACTTGGGGAGGCCAAGGCAGGTGGATCGCTTGAGCCCAGGAGTTTAAGACAAGCCTGAGTAACATGATGAAACCCCATCTCTACCAAAAATAACAAAATTAGCTGAATGTGGTGGTGTAAGCCTGTGGTGGTAACCACTCAGGAGGCTGAGGTAAGAAGACAGCTTGAGCCCAGGAGGTTGAGGCTCCAGTGAGCTATGATCGTGCCACTGTGCTCCAGTCTGGGCAACAGAGTGAGATCTTGTCTCTAATACATATAAACAAAAAAAAATTTTTTTTTTGGAAACAGAGTCTCACTCTCGTTGCCCCGACTGGAGAGCAATGGCATGATCTCGGGCCACTGTAACCTATGCCTCCTGGGTTCAAGCAATTCTCCTGTCTCAGCCTCCCGAGTAGCTGGGACTACAGGAACCTGCCACCACGCCTGGCTGACTTTTGTATTTTTAGTAGAGACGGGGTTTCACCATGTTGGCCAGGCTGGTCTCGAACTCCTGATCTCAGGTGATCCGCCCACCTCGGCCTCCCAAAGTGCTGGGATTATAGGTGTGAACCACCACACCCGGCAAAACCAGAATTTTGAGAAGGTGAGCCCACAGAACACCCGGAGAGGAGAGCAGCGTGGGAGGAGGCCCACCCCAGTTGCCAGCCTCCTGGGGGCCCAGGCTCACCTCACAGTGGTAACATGCCACGTGGTAGTCTCTGTCCATGGACACCACACGGATGGTTGTCTCACAGCCCTGGAGGAAGAGACGGAGTTCACACACGATGAGCATGCAGGGACTGGAGGCAAAGTGCCCGGAGTGTACACTCCCACACCACGCTCCGGTCCCGGCTGAGGTGCATGCCTGCCCCAGAGAGCACAGCCGCGATGCTTCTGTGGGGCGTGACAGGCACCAGCAGGTGCATACACACAGACACACATGGGCCTCAGGCATCCTCTGCGGCCACAGCCCGCAGCACACACAAAGGCCCACAAGAGGGTCATGTGGGTGTCAATGGATGTGGACATTATTGTCACCTCATTGCTTCTTTTTTCTTTTTTCTTTTTTTTAATTCAGACAGTCTTGCTTTGTTGCCCAGGCTAGAGTGCAGTGGCGCGATCTCGGCTCACTGCCAGTTCTACCTCCCAGGTTCACGCCATTCTCCTGCCTCAGCCTCCCGAGTAGCTGGGACTACAGGCACCCGTCACCACACCTGGCTAATTTTTTGTATTTTTAGTACAGACGAGGTTTCACTGTGTTAGCCAGGATGATCTCGATCTCCTGACCTCGTGATCCACCCGCCTCAGCCTCCCAAAATGCTGGGATTACAGGCGTGAGCCACTGCGCCCAGTCACCTTTTTTTTTTTTTTTTTTTTTTCAGAGATAGAGTCTCTCTCTGTTGCCCATGCTGGAGTGCAGTGGTGCAATCACGGCTCACTGCGGCCTCAAACTCCTGGGCTCAAGTAATCCTCCTGCCTTAGCCTCCCAAGTAGCTGGGACTACAGGCAGGCACAACCATACCCAGCTAATTTTTTATTTCTTTGTAGAGATAGGGTCTCACTAGGCGGCCCAGGCTGGTCTCAAACTCCTGGCTTCAAGCAATCATCCCACCTCGCCCTCCCAAAGTGCTGGATTACAGGCGTGGGCCCCTGTGCCTGGCCTGTTTTCACTTCCTTGGAGTCTCGAAAGGGCACTGCCAGTTCTGCTTCGCCGGGCACACCAGCCTGGGACAGAGCCAGCACTGTGGGAAGACCCCAGGCCAGAAGAGCTGCAGCACCCACGGGGGGCTCCCACACAGACCACGTCCATCTCTCATCTGCCCCCCCAGCACCCCACCTCAGCCTGCAGAGCTGAGAAGACCCAGGGAACAGCCCTTGCGTCAATGGAGCGTGGAGCGGAGGCTGGCAGTGGGGCAGCCAAGCAGCAGCGGCCACCACTTTCCTCCACCTCGTGCCAGGAGACAGCTATACCCTACGTGCACAAGCATGACACACACCCCTCAGTCCTGAAGGACCTGCAGAGAAGCACCTGCTCATCCCTCCCACTGTGGCCCGAGACCTGGGCTAGACCCAGGCTGGACAGGGCAGCAGCCGGCTGGGCCAGGCACCTGATCATCTCTGGGTGAGGGGCTCCTACCTGTGCAGGGAGGATAGGACGGGCACAGGAGGCGCATTTTGGTGCAAAAACCCTAGAGAAATAAAGGAAACCAGAAGTGATCAGCTGAGTGACCAGAGGCCAAGGGCACAAGGACAGGGGCACCCACAGGAACCCCCTGATGTGGCCCAAGAGGCCCTCTCTCCCTGTGTGCACACCTCGGGGCAGACAAGGAACAGTTTCCGCCATGCCTTCCCGTACTGGCCTCTTCATTTTTTTTTTTAATAAATAGAAATGGGGTCTCGCTGTGTTGCCCAGGCTAGTCTCAAACTCCTGGGTTGAAGCAATCCCCAACCTTGGCCTCCCAAAGTGCTGGGATTACAGGCATGAGCCACCACGCCCGGTCCTGGCCTCTTATCTGACTGCCCATTTCATCTCCACCCAATCACCTCCTCCAGGATGGCTTCAGGTTCTGCTCTGCCATCCACCCCCATGTTTCCTGTGAGTTCCCTTCTCCTTAATGTCCAGGTCTGGGGCACCGCTAGCTAGGACCACTGTGAGACCCGGCTTCACCCTGAGTACCAGGGACCTCTGCCCAGGACTCCAATCCCATGCAAGGCCCTGCTCAGAACCAGAGCTCCCAGGAATAAACCTGGAGTCACAGTAGGAGGAAACAGATCGGGGATCAGACAGGCAGGAGGAGGGGGCTGCAGAGACCTCAATCCCCTGCCCCAGCCGGAAGAGGCCTGGCCTGGCAGGGGATGGAGGGGAGGAGCGGGAGAGACGGTAGATACTGCAGCCAGGAGGGTCCCCTGTGCCAGAAGTAGAGAAGCACACAGCCTACGACAGGGAGAGAAGAGGGAAGGAAAAGACAGCTGGTGGCCAGACCACCGGGAGAGGGGACGCAGGCGGAGACACATGCCTTACCCAAGCCTGGGTGCACAAGGGGAGGCAGAAGGCAAAAGGCCGAGAACGAAGGGCAGTCAGTCCGGTGGGAAAAATGCTTCCAGGGGAGCCAGAGAGGACAGCCCGAGTCCCGCCTGCGCCACAGCGCCAGCCACTCACGTGTGATAGTCTCGCACGCAGTAGATGTTGTTCTCCACGTCCACGGTGAAGGGAACCCCGTCCAGGCATTCATTGCACACGGAGCACCGGAAGCAGCCAGGGTGGTAGGACTTGCCCAGGGCCTGCAGGATCTGCGGGCGGGGCACTGAGGGGTCAGCGCGGGCAGGAAGCTCAGCGCCGCCCCGGAAGAGGTTCTGGCTCTGAACCCCTGGCAGGTCTGGAGCAGGGGAGAAGGTGGGGTCCTCAGATTCCACCCATGTCAGAAGGGCTCCAGGAGGCCGGGGCAGGGGCTCACCATCTCCATGATGAGATGTCCACACACGCTGCACTTGTCGGCCGTCTGCTGGAACCCGGAGTACTGGGAGGGGACACAGGATCCAGGACACATTGTGTGACAAAGGGGCACTCGCGGCCCAGTTAACACCTGCCTCCCGGCCTCAGGTCTCCACTCGAGTCAGAAGGAGGGTCGCTGCCCCAGTTCCCACCCCTGGCACCGCCGGGGCACAGCTTGGACTCACCAGGAAGTCCTCCTGGCAGTACACTTTCTCGCCCACGTTGTAGAACGCCTTCCCACGCAGTCGTCTCCCTGCAAGGACAAGGGTGGAGAGGGGTCCCTGGAATGCTGGAGACCAGGGACGGAGCCACGCTTCCAGCTCTCAGCACCCTCCTCCAACAGATGAGACACTGGGTTATGGGTGGTTGTTATTGTTATAATAACAAAATTTCAGAAAAAAATTAAAGAGAACATATTGTCGATAGAATTATTGCAAAAGGCTGCCAAACCAAATATATGAAGAAATATTTTACTAATATAAATACATGTGTTGGTTAATAAACACATTCACTTTTTTTTTTTTTTTTTTTTTTTTTTTTTGGGGGGGGTTGGTTTTTGTTGGCGGGGGTGGGGGGGTGGTGGCCGTTTTCGATCCTTACGTACCCACGCCCCCCTGTGTGCCGGTTGCAAAGGCTGCCAAACCAAATATACAAGAAGAAATATTTTACTAATATAAATACATGTGTTGGTTAATAAACACTTCATTTTTTTTTGAGACGGAGTCTGGCTCTGTGGCCCGGGCTGGAGTGCAGTGGCCGGATCTCAGCTCACTGCAAGCTCCGCCTCCCGGGTTCACGCCATTCTCCTGCCTCAGCCTCCGGAGTAGCTGGGACTACAGGCGCCCGCCACCTCGCCCGGCTAGTTTTTTGTATTTTTAGTAGAGACGGGGTTTCACCGTGTTAGCCAGGATGGTCTCGATCTCCTGACCTCGTGATCCGCCCGTCTCGGCCTCCCTAAGTGCTGGGATTACAGGCTTGAGCCACCGCGCCCGGCCCACATTCATTTTAAGATCAGTTGAACTCAGAGCAAATTTTCGAGAATGAATCTTTTTTTTTTTTTTTTTGAGACAGAGTCTCACTGTGTTGCCCAGGCTGGAGTGCAGTGGCACGATCTTGGCTCACTGCAGCCTCCGCCTCCTGGGTTCAAGCGATTCTCCTGACTCAGTCTCCCAAGTAGCTGGGACTACAGGGGCCCACCACCACGCCCGGCTAATTTTTTGTATTTTTTTTTTTTTTTAGTAGAGACGGGGTTTCACGGTGTTATCCAGGATGGTCTCCATCTCCTGACCTCGTGATCTGCCCGCCTCTGCCTCCCAAAGTGCTGGATTACAGGCGTGAGCCACCGCGCCCGGCCTATCCAATGCATTTTTATATTCTAGCAACAAACAATGGAAAATAAACTCGCAAGGTTTTTTTTTTTTTTTTTTTTTTTTTTTTTTTGAGATAAGGTCTCACTGTCACCTGGGGGCTGGAGTGCAGTGGTGCAGTCATAGTTCACTGCAGCTCTGACCTCCAGGACTCAAGGCATCCCCCATCTCAGCTCCCTGACTAGCTGGGACTATAGGCACACACTACCATACCCAGCTACTTTTTCTTTTCTTTTACTTTTTTCTTTCTTTTTTTTTTTTTTTTTTGCTATGGAGTTTAGTTCTTGTTGCCCAGGAGAGGTGGCTCACACTTGTAATCCCAGCACTGTGGGAGGCCGAGGCAGGCGGATCACGAGGTCAGGAAAGAGAGACCATCCTGGCCCACATGTGAAATCCCGTCTCACTAAAAAAAATACAAAAATTAGCTGGGAGTGGTGGCGCGTGCCTGTAATCCTAGCTACTCGGGAGGCTGAGGCAGGAGAATCGCTTGAACCAGGGAGACGGAGGTTGCAGTGAGCTGAGATCACACCACTATACCCCAGCCTGGCAACAGAGTAAGACTCTGTCTCAAAAAAAAAAAGAAAAGAAAAAAAAATAAAATTATAAAACGTGCAAATAAATAAAAGATGTCTGATTAAGGCAAGGTCTGGAAGAACAGTGGGCAAATCAAGAGTGGAGATTTCTTAGGGCGGTTAGATTATAGTTCCTTTTTTTCTTTTTGTAACTTTGTCTAGGTTAAACTATAACACTTAGAGTTTATGTTGGGTGTAAAATTGTGACCAAAAATAAATTGTAGGCCAGGTGCGGTGGCTCACACCTGTATGCCCGGCACTTTGAGAGGCCGAGGTAGGCGGATCACTTGAGCTCAAGAGTTTGAGACCAGCCTGGCCAACGTGGTAAAACCCCATCTCTACCTAAAAATACAAAAAAAAAAAAAAAAAAAAAAATTAGCCAAGCATGGTGGCATATGTGCCTGTAATCCCAGCTACTCGGGAGGCTGAGGCAGGAAAATCTCTTGAACCCGGGAGGCAGAAGCTGCAGTGAGCCAAGATCACTCCACTGCATTCCAGCCTGGGCAACAGAGTAAGACTCTGTCTCAACAACAACAACAAAAATAGATTGCAGGAAAAAGAAATATTAGTCATATGTCCAGACAGGCAGAAGGTCCTTCATGGGATTCCGATGCCGCTTCCAGGCAGCTGGGTGACATCAGTGCCCTGTGTGGCACAGAGGCTCCGCAGCTGATGACCAGGGGGCAGCCCTGTCCTACCGCCAGCAAAAGGCTCCTCGGTGGTCCCACGCCTCCTCCCCAGACAGAGTCCTCCACAGCCCCGCCTGGGCCAGAGCCGGTGGCCCATCTGCCTGGACTCAGGTGCAAGCGGGTTTGAGGGGAATGGGGGTGACGTGGCGGGTCCCCTTCACAGAGCTACCCGGAGCATAAGGTTACCTACCACACGAGTCGCAGGTGAAGCAGTCGGTGTGATAAAGACTTCCCATTGCCTGGCACGCCTGCTGGGCTCCGTAGATGCCAAGCCCACACTTAATGCAAATGCCTAGGAGAGGAGAGGCAGGAGAGAGCAAGAGTTAGCGCAACAGCCTATGCCACCCAATGGACACCAGGGGTTAGCACCACAGCCCGTGCCACACTGACGGACTCCCCGTCTTGACACCGCCCACCCGCCTGACCTTGGGGATGCTAACTTTCCTAGGCCAACATCACTCGATTACTGATGACTGACATGGGCACCATCACAGTGGCCACGACCCAGGGATTGCCGCTGCTGCTGTCTGAGGATTCAAGGGCTTGGCCAAGCACCCAGTGCAGTCGGAGCTAATCAAAGCTGTCCATCACAACTTTTCTGATAGATTCTTCTGGTTTTTGATTTATAAATAGGGACAGAGTCTCACTATGTTGCCCAGGCTGGTCTCAAACTCCTGGGTTAAATCGATCCTCCCGCCTTGGCCTCCCAACGTGCTGGGATTACAGGCATGAGCCACTGCACCTGACCAGTTTTAGGCTTTTATTTTTTGAGGGGGAGGGAGACAGGAGCTCGCTCTGTCCCACAGGCTAGAGTGCAGTGGTGCAATCAGAGTTCACTGCAGCCTCGACCTCCTAGGCTCAAGCAATCCTCTGGCCTCAGCCTCCCAAGTAGGTGGGACTTCTGGCACATGCCATCACACACGACTAATTTTCTTTTTCTTTTGTAGAGACAGGGTCTTGCTATGTTGCCCAGTTGCCCAGGTTGCGCTCAAGCAATTCCTGGGCTCAAGCAATCCTCCTGCCTGGACTTCCCAAAGTGCTGCAATTACAAGCGTGAGCCACCACACCCAGCCTATCATGGTATCTTTATACCTAGACAGTTGTTTTAAGCCCTTTCACCCACGGCCTGCTCTTGGACTGAGGGAGAATTCTTTCTACTGTTTGTGAACCAAATCCTGTTCTTCAACATGTTTTGTGACCCAGACACAAAGAATGAAGACCACACAGGCACTCCGGGGCAGTCACCACCCCTCTGCAGCCACTCTCTCCTCCTCGGTACCCCAGGGTCCACTTATTCTCTTGGTCAGTCGGCACACAGATGAGTCACATGCCCCTAAGGTCAGGCACCACTCAGTCTGCAATGCACCCGGTCCCTACCCTCAAGAATCCTGCATGGAGGGGAGGAGGGCAGAGAACAGCAGTCAAATAACATCAGGAAGAGACGAGTGCTACGGCGAAAAATAAGGCTGATCAACAAAATGCCTGGATGCAGGATTTTTTTTTTTTTTTTTTTTTTTTAGATGGAGTCTCACTCTGTCGCCCAGGCTGGAATGCAGTGGCGCAATTCCAGCTCACTGCAACCTCCACCTCCCGGGTTCAAGCGATTCTCCTGCCTCAGCCTCCTGAGTAGCTGAGACTACAGGCGCCCGCCACCATACCTGGCTAATTTTTTTTTATTTTTAGTAGAGACAGGGTTTCACCATGTTGGCCAGGCTGGTCATGAACTCCTGACCTCAGGTGACTCACCCGCTTTGGCCTCCCAAAGTGCTGGGATTATGGGTGTGAGCCACTGCTCCTGGCTTTTTTTTTTTTTTTTTAAAGACAGAGTCTCACTCTGTTGCCCAGGCTGGAGTGCAGTGGTGCAATCATGGCTCACTGCAGCCTTGACATCCTGGGCTCAAGCGATCCTCCCACCTCGGCCTCCCAAGAAGCTGAGACCACAGGCAAATACTGCTATGTCCGGCCAAGGATGTGTGATTTTTAAACCGGGGATTCACAGAAGCCTCACTCACAAGGTGATATCTGAGCAAAGGCCTGAAGGAAATAAGGAAGGGGGCTGGGTGCAGTGGCTCACGCCTGTAATCTCAGCACTTTGGGAGGCCGAAGCGGGAGGATCACTTGAGCCCAAGAGTTCCAGACCAGCCTGGGTAACACAGTAAGACCTTTATCTCTACAAAAAATTTTTAAAATCTCCCGGCATGGTGGCGTGCACCTGTGGTCCCAGTTACTCAGGAGTCTGAGGCAGGAGGATGGCTTGAGCCTGGGAGTTTGAGGCTGCAGTGAGCTAAGATCATGCCACTGCACTCCAGCCTGGGTGACAGAGTGAGATGTCTCCAAAAAAAGAAGAAGCCGACGCAGTGGCTCATGCCTGTAATCCCAGCACTTTGGGAGGCCGAGGCGGGTGGATCACGAGGTCAGGAGTTCAAGACCAGCCTGACCAAGATGGTGAAACCCCGTCTACTAAAAATACAAAAATTAGCCGGGCGTGGTGGCAGGTACCTGTAATCCCAGCTACTCAGGAGGCTGAGGCAGGAGAATCACTTGAACCTGGGGGGCGGAGTTTGCAGTGAGCTGAGATCGCGCCACTGCACTCCAGCCTGGGTGACAGAGTGAAACTCCGCCTCAAAAAAAAAAAAAGAAGACAGACATGAGGGCTGCTGTGCAAGTGCCTGCAATCAGTGGATGGAATCAGGGACCACACCTGTGTACTCAGCATGCAGCGGGGAAAGTGGAAAGCAGAGGGGTGACCAGCAACCCCAGGGCCCAGCCTGGCTCCAGCCTCAGGGCACTCCCTGGCCAGCCCTCCTGGAAACTCAGACAGTAAGCAGGCAGCCCACACATCTCGTGTCCCCTTTACAGGGTCACCCAGGGTCTCCCATGCCACACAGCACATGAAGATGGCCCTCCACTTGCCCTCTGGACCGTAAATCTTCTGCCAGCTCCAGACCATGCTGCCCTCCCCCAACCCTCTTGCTTTCTCCTTACATCTCTTTCCTTACATAACCTCCTCTCCCTCCTCCACCAGCCACCCCATTCCCTACCTTTCCTCAGTCAACAAAGAGAGCATGGCCCACACTTGGTCACCTCCTAGCCGTCCCCATCTATGGACTTTACATTCTGATCTTGCTAGTGGGTGACCCACCCCCTCCTCTCTGGTGTCCAGGATGCAGCCTGCACCCAGCTTTCCAGGTCTTCATCTCCCTTCCCTGCTTTCCTGGGTACCCCCCGCTCTTCCCAGGGCCTCCCATGCCTCACTCTCACTGGGCAGAGAGAAGACCAGTCCAGATGCCTTCAGAACCAGGCAGGGGCTGGGCACAGTGGCTCACATCTGTAATCCCAGCATTTCGGGAGGCTGAAGTGGGTCGACCACTTGAGGCCAGGAGTTTGAGACCAGCCTGGCCAACATGGTGAAACCTCGTCTCTACTAAAAATATAAAAATTAGCCGAGCATGGTGGTGCACACCGTAATCTCAGCTGCCTGGGAGGCTGAGGTGGGAGAATGGCTTGAATCTGGGAGGCAGAGGTTGCAGTGAGATCGCACCACTGCACTCCAGCCTGGGTGACAGAGCAAGACTCCGTCTCAAAAAAAAAAAAAAAAGGCAGGCAGGGACCAGCCTTGGTGGCTCATGCCTGCAATCTCAGCACTTTGGGAGTCTGAGACAGGAGGATCACTTGAGGTCAGGAGTTCAGGCTGCAGTGAGCTGTGATCGCACCACTGCGCTCCAGCCTGGGCAACAGAGCTAGATCCTGTCTCTAAAAAAAAAAAAAATAAATAAATAAATAAAAAAAAAAAAAGAAACAAAGGGAAAGGGCCAATGAAACGAGGAGAACTGAAGGTGCAGGAGGTGTAGGTTGGTGATGGAAGGACCCTTGTCCTCTCAGACGGCAGGAGAGTGAGACCCACATGGACTGGAGCACCTACAGGGGAGCGGCAGGATGCTGGTGGAGACAGACTGCAACTGCTGACCTCAAGATTCCAAGCGAAGTTGGAAGCAAACATAGGGGTCCCAGGAGGGAGGAAGGTTGTTGAGAGAATAAGAGAGGAAACCGACAAAGGCGGCTGGGCACGGTGGCTCACGCCTGTAATTCCAGCTCTTTGGGAGGTCGAGGCAGATGGATCACCTGAGGTCGGGAGTTCAAGACCAGACTGGCCAATATGGTGAAACCCCATCTCTATTAAAAATACAAAAAATTGGCCGGGCGCGGTGGCTCAAGCCTGTAATCCCAGCACTTTGGGAGGCCGAGATGGGCGGATCACAAGGTCAGGAGATCGAGACCATCCTGGCTAACACGGTGAAACCCCGTCTCTACTAAAAAAAACACAAAAAACTAGCCGGGCGAAGTGGCGGGTGCCTGTAGTCCCAGCTACTCGGGAGGCTGAGGCAGGAGAATGGCGTAAACCCGGGAGGCGGAGCTTGCAGTGAGCTGAGATCCGGCCACTGCACTCCAGCCCGGGCGACAGAGCAAGACTCCGTCTCAAAAAAAAAAAAAAAAAAAAAATATTAGCCAGGCGTGGTGGCAGGTGCCTGTAATCCCAGCTACTTGGAAGGCTGAGCCAGGAGAATCGCTTGAACCCGGGAGGCGGAGGTTGCCGCGAGCTGAGATCTCGCCATTGCACTCTAGCCTGGGCAACAGCGAAACTCTGTCTCAAAACAAAAACAAAAACAAAAACTGACAAAGACTTAGGGTGTCAGTGGTGCCAGGAAGACCTGTGTGGTGAGGACAACAAACCTCTCACGGTCCTGAGGGCTTCCTCAGAGCCCTTCCCGGCCTGGTATGCTGGCCGCAGAGGGGGTAGAACCATGGGCCCAGAGTCGGGGTTCTGCTGGGCAGACGGCGATTACAGGAATGAGAAGAACTGCTGAGAAGCAGGCTGGGGTTACCACTGAGGACTGCTGGAGTGAAGGGAAAACAGGGTGTGGCCCTGAGAGTGGGTGGCTGAAGAGAAGGCAGGGAGGTCACCAAAGTTGAAGAGGTTCCGGAAGCCCGAGGCTGTTGGCTGGCTAGTGGCAGCGGAACTTGGGGAGGGGAGAGGGGAAAGTTCCAAAGACATCAGTGAATGGCAAAGAGCAACCAAGAGGTCAGCTGGTACCAGGGCCAAGGACAGGAAGGGATGAGGGGTTGGACAGAGAAAAAAAAAAATGCTCTGGCCAGGCGTAGTGGCTCCCGCCTGTAATCCCAACACTGGGAAGCCAAAGAGGGAGGATCGCTTGAATGCAGAAGTTCAAGACCAGCCTGGGCAACGAAGCAAGATCTCATCTCTACAAAAAAATTAAAAAATTCAGCCGAGCATGGTGATGCGCACCTGTGGTCTCAGCTACTCAGGAGGCTGAAGCAGGAGGATCACTTGAGCCCAGGAGTTCAAGGCTGTAATGAGCGCTGATCTCACCACTGCACTCCAGCCTGGGTGACAGGGTGAGACCCAGTCTCTAAAAATACATAAATAAATACATAACTTAATTTAAAACAAAACAGCCACACTCTGAGGACAAGGTTTATCAGCGATCACTTGAGCTTATGCTACCTGCAGATTTCCTTTTGTAAACTGCTGTATTATTCTGGTTGAACTCTATGAAACTGCCACTTTTGTAGCTCAACAAAGTCAAATATCATCAGAACCATATAGCTGAAACAAATAGTTGCCCATATTTTTTAAAATCAGGAAAGTGGGCCGGGCATAGTGGCTCATGCCTGTAATCCCAGCACTTTGAGAGGCCAAGATGGATGGATCACCTGAGGTCAGGAACTCAAGACAAGCCTGGCCAACATGGTGAAACCTCATCTCTACTAAAAATACAAAAATTAGCCAGGCATGGAGGTACACAGTACCTGTAATCCCAGCTACTGGGGAGGCAAAGCCAGGAGAATCACTTGAACCCAGGAGGTGGAGGTTGCAGTGAGCTGAGATCGCACCAGTGCACTCCAGCCTGGGCGACAAACCAAGACTCCATCTCAAAAAAGTTTAAAAAAATAAAATAGGCCGGGCGCGGTGGCTCAAGCCTGTAATCCCAGCACTTTGGGAGGCCGAGACGGGCGGATCACGAGGTCAGGAGATCGAGACCATCCTGGCGAACACGGTGAAACCCCGTCTCTACTAAAAATACAAAAAACTAGCCGGGCGAGGTGGCGGGCGCCTGTAGTCCCAGCTACTCCGGAGGCTGAGGCAGGAGAATGGCGTAAACCCGGGAGGCGGAGCTTGCAGTGAGCTGAGATCCGGCCACTGCACTCCAGCCTGGGTGACAGAGCGATCCGGCCACTGCACTCCAGCCTGGGCGACAGAGCCAGACTCTGTCTCAAAAAAAAAAAAAAAAAAAAAAAAAAAAAAAAAAAAATAAACAAAATCAGGAAAATATTACCAAATCTCAATTTCTAGCTTTTCTTGAAAACAAAATAAAAAAGGTGTATCATCACTCCTCTAACACTCTCACAGCGCTACAACAGCCTGATCTGAGCAGCTCTTTTTTTTTTTTTTCTTTTGAGACAGAGTCTCCCTCTGTCACCGAGGCTGGAGTGCAGTGGCACGATCTTGGCTCACTGCAAGCTCCGCCTCCCAGGTTCACGCCATTCTCCTGCCTTAGCCTCCCAAGTAGCTGGGACTACAGGTGCCCGCTACCATGCCCAGCTAATTTTTTGTATTTTTAGTAGAGACAGGGTTTCACTGTGTTAGCCAGGATGGTCTCAATCTCCTGACCTCGTGATCCGCCCGCCTCGACCTCCCAAAGTGCTGGGATTACAGGTGTGAGCCACCGTGCCTGGCCCCCCTTTTTTTTTTTTAAAGACAAGATCTCTCTCTGTCACCCAGGTCACAGTGCAGTGGCACGATCATAGCTTATTGCAGCCTGGAACTCCTGGGTCCAAGTGATCCTCCCACCTCAGCCTCCCAAGTAGCTGAGAACACAGGTGGGTGCCACCATGCCCAGCTGATTTTTAAAATTGTTTGTAGAGACAAGGTCTCACTATGTTGCCCACACTGGTCTTAAACTACTGGGCTCAATGGGCTCAAGCAATCCTCCCATCGCAGCCTCTCAAAGTGCTGGGATTACAGGTGTGAGCCACCACACCCGGCCTAGCAGCTCCTCCTTAGAAAACAAATGTGCTACCACACCCTATCGTCTTGTACCATCTCCACATTGCCTGCGAGGGACCTCAGCCATCCCTATATCATGTAAAGATTCAGAGGTGTCTACAGAACACACTCCTACTTGGGCTCTGCAGTACATAGGGGCTGGGAAATGGGTACTCTCCCCTGCAGAAGACACTGGGAAGCACGCCCTTCAAAAGTCAGCCCCAGCCTCTGTTCCTGGCACCTGTCTGGCTCGGGAGACAACAGCTCCTGGCACATCTCCCTGCTCCCAGGCCATCCAACAGCTGCCACAAGACCTGCCCAGCCACAAAGTCTCACCATGACCTCACAGATGGGAGGCGCTCTCCGTCCCAAAGCAGGCGCACCTCCTCTTAGCCCACACATGCCCTCCACCACCTAAGCCCTCTGGGCTGCAACCCCTGGGGGAAGCGCGGGGCAATCCCTCATCCCACCTGGCGTCCTCTGTTCATTCTTCCCTCTCTCCGGAATGCCCCCACCTGGCCCCTCACTGACAGCCTCCTCACCCCTCAAGATCCAGTTCAGGGCCGGGTGCAGTGGCTCACGCCTGTAATCCCAAAATTTTGGGAGGATGAGGCAGGCGGATCATGAGGTCAAGAGATCGAGACCATCCTGGCCAACATGGTGAAACCCCGTCTCTACAACAAATACAAAAATTAGCTGGGCGTGGTGGCGTATGCCTGGAATCCCAGCTACTGGGGAGGCTGAGGTGGGAGAATCGCTTGAACCAGGGAGTCGGAGGTTGCAGTGAGCCAAGATCATGCCACTGCACTCCAGCCTGGCGACAGAGTGAGATTCCATCTCAAAAAATAAATAAATAAATAAATAAATAAATAAATAAATAAATAAAGATCCAGTTTAGGGCAGCCATGAGCTACTGACACCATCGAATGCTCAAAGACACAAACCCCAGGACGGCTGCGGTCCCAGGCATGGTGACCATCCATCCACCAAGCCAGATGCTTACTACAGAAGGCAGGTTGGGAAGTTCTCTCCCCAGGCCCCACAGTATACCTCTGCCCCGCTCACAATCTCACCTGAAGAGCTGTCCCAAGAACTAGAGATCAGGGGGCCTGGGCCACACTGGGAAGTGGAGGCTGTCAGGCTGCTGGGCTTTGCAGACGCACCTGCAGCAGGATTCCTTTAGGAAACATCCTGTGTCCACAGCACAGTCCGGGCGAGGGCAGCCACATGTGACTGGCATGGTTCCCCTCTCCCCCAAAGTGGGCTTTTCTTCCCTCACACAGTCTCCCTCTCCCGCCGCTACCATCACCAAAGCCTGGGTCAGGAGGTGTCCGGTGGTACCTGGGCCACTCCACTTCCCGGTTGCTGTCCACACCCATACCGTGGCGGGGCAGACGAGGAAGCACCCCTTTCTGCTGATCACGAAGCATGAAAGGATCAGACAGGATGAGAGCGCCAAGTGTAAAGAAGAAAAGATCAGGCCAGGAGCACTGGCTCAAGACTGTAATCCCAGCACCTTGGGAGGCCGAGGAGGGTGGATCGCTTGAGCCCAGGAGTTTAAGACCAGCCTGGGCAACATAGGGAGACTTAGTCTCTTAAAAAAAAAAAAAAGAAAGAAAGAAAGGAAAGAAAGGAAAGAAAGAGAGAAAGAGAGAAAGAAAGAAAGAAAGAAAAGAAAAAAAGAAAAAAGCTGGGCGTGGTGGTGTGCACCTGAGTCCCAGCATCTCGGGAGGCTGAAGCGAGAGGATCCCTTGAGCCTGAGAGGCGGAGGCTACAGTGAGCCGAGATCGCGCCACTGCACTTCAGTCTGGGCGACAGAGGAAGACCCTGTCTCAAAATAAATAAATAAATTAATAATAATAATAATAATAATAAGAAAGAAAGAAAGAAAGAAAGAATAAGAAAAAAAAAAAGGGAGAAGAAAAAAGTATCAGAAAATGGCTCAGTGTGCCCATGAACCTAACTTGCCGGTTAATTTAGGAACCGCGCATCAACTCACTCGGCCAGAACCCCTCGTGTGGTGGGGCACCCAGAAGCCGGGGCGAAGCCGTTGCTGGGGATCCAGGCGCACTCACCTTCTGCGCTCCCCAGTGCCCGGGAGACGCACCTTTCTCGTCCCAACCCCGTGCACCACCGCACCCCCAGCCAATCCCGTGATCTCCTCCGCTGATCTGGCCGCCTACTCGAGGCCGTCCCGGAACCCCGGACCCAAGCCGCGCGCGCAGGGAACTGCCCGGCAGAGCTCGCTCACCGAAGTAGTCCCGTGCCGTGCGCGCCTCGAGCGCCCGCTCCAGCTCCCGGGTAAGCGCCTCCAGCCGCCGCTCGGCCGCGCTTGGGCCGCCCTCCCGGCCCGGGGGCAGCGGGAGCGCAGGCAGCGGGAAGGGGGCTGGCCCCGCAGGCTCCGGGGAGCGAGCGGGCGCGGGGCAGGCGCCGGGCGGGAGGAGGTCAGCATAGGCGCCGGCCGAGCCCCGGGAGCCGAGGCTGGACACGCTGGAGCGGGCGCTGCCCACCGACGGCGGCCCGGGGCCGGGGCGCGGGTCCGAGCGGCCGGAGCGCGGGCTGCCGTGGCGCTGGTCGTAGCCCAGGCTGATGCCGCTGGAACGGGCGCTGCTGCCGCCGCCGCCGCCGCCGTCGGACCCCGCCAGGCTGGCCCGTGGGCTGCCCGCAGGCTGCGCGCTGACCTCCGGGGCCGCCGCGCGCCGGGGACCCCGCTCCCCGCGGCTCAGTCCGTCCGCCCCGGCCTCGGGGCCGCCGCCGCCCTTCCCTCTGCGGCCCAGCGCGGGCGCCGCCTCGTCTCCAGGCCCAGGCCGCGGTCCCCGCCGCCCCCGACCCGGAGAGCAGCCCCCGGGCTCCAGCTCCCGCAGGGCCAGCCCGGCCAGGAGCAGGGCCGCCTCGTCCGCGGCCGCCCGGGAGCGCTGCATGGCCCGGCCCGCCGGCCCTGGCGCGTCACCTCCGCCTCCGCTTCCCGCCGCCGCTCCGGCCGGGCCGCCGCATCGTCCGCCCGAAGCCCGGAGCCCGCCCCGGGACCCCTGGGCGCGGGGCGGGGCGGGGCCGGCGCCGGGCCGGGGTCGCTCCGGCGGCCACGCGTGGGCCGGGAGACGCTGCGCCCTACTCGGCGGCGCGCGCGGCGGAGGAATGTGCGCTCCCAGACGCCGGGCCGCGCCCCCTCCTCGCCGCGGCCTCGCTGGGGGCGGAGGGACTCCTTTGCGGGGGCAGGAATGCGAGGAAGGAGACAGCGCTGCGGCCTCTGGAATGTGGGGGGAGTGGCGGCGGCCGCGCTGCGCCGGGACCTCGGAGGGGCGTGGAGGACGAGCCAGGACGCAGGGGCGGGCGGCGGAGGCGCCGCGGGGAGAGCCCAGGGTCCGCGGGGCGCCCGGGCCGTCGGGCCACTTGGAAAAGCTCGGATTTCCGCAGGCTGAGCTGGAGGCAGCTGGCGCCATCCGGCCTGGAGAGATCCAGGCAGTCGACAGCGTTCCCCACATCCCGCCCCATCTCCTTTCCCTGCGCCGCCTCGCTCTCTGGCGCTGCAGGGCCGACCCAGCTCAGCTTGGAGCCCAAGGCACTGCGCCTGTCCCACGCCCGGGAACACTGTGCGCCTAGCGCAGATGCGTCCCCACGACCCCCTGCCTGGCCCGGGGCCATGTGGCCGCGCACGGGCCTCTGGAGCCCCCGTCTGACTGCTGGGGAAGGCGCCCAGAGCTAGGAGCGGGTTGGTTGGGGACTGGTCCTCGCGCTGGGTCGCTTTGCCCAGGTCCCCAAGGCCAAGCCAGAAGCAGGCCTCAAGCTCAGAGCCGGTCGGCGGCGAACCTCCCCTGTGGTCATCACAGGCAGTCCCCGTGAAATGTGGGGACTCCTCCCTTTTCCAGCACCTGCACCCACTGTGGTGGGTGAGGCTTCGAGGGGAGGTCCTGGAACCGGCGGAGCCATGGGGGCCACATAGGTGGGGAATTGAGAGGTGACTAGGGCTTCGTACCCAAGGACACAGCTAATATCACTTGTACAAGTCACACGGCTATAGGGAAGAAAACCAAACCGTTATCTGTCAGGGCCTGATGGATCCAGGAAAAGTGTTGCGTGAAAGAGTACTGTTTCCAGGCCTCTGCTCAGAGATTTTCGGGAAGGCGCCTACAGTGGCTCAGAGCGCAGGGAGCCCGCACGGGGAACTGTCCCAGCCAGACGGCCCAGGGCAGTGTGGCCTCAACAGCGGAGCCTCAGCCCCGCTGGGGCTGCTGACCCCAGCACCTTCCCATAGCCTGTCGCTCTGTCCCCCAGGCTGGAGTACAGTGGTGTGATCACAGCTCACAGTAATGCCACACACCCCCCAGTTTCGACCTCCTGGGCTCAAGCAATCCTCCCACCTCAGCCTCCGGAGTACTTAGGAGCACAGGCGCACACCACCACACAAAATGCTGAGATTACAGGCATGAGCCTCCATGCGGGGTCTAGAAGCCAGCATTTGGGAGAGTAAGTACCCAGGGAAGCCACGACATGAAAAATGGTCTACCTTTCTAATGAGAAAGGAAAAGCCAGTTCATATCGCATTTCACGGATTGCATTATCTACTATTTAAAAAGGACAATATTGGCAGAACTGTGGTGAAACAGTTGCACATATACTACTGGTATGAGTGCAAATTGGTATATCCTTTTGGGGAGAGCAGTTTGGTGGTGTCAACACCCGCACAAATGAACACGAACACTTAGAAGCAGTAATACTGCTTCTAAAAATCTGTTCAAGGGAAGTTATCCAAAACGCAGACAATAATCCAATCACAACCGTGTCGTATAATCCCAACATCATATAGGTAATCTACAGAGGTCCCCAACCTTTTTGGCACCAAGGACTGGTTTTATGGAAGACAATTTTTCCACAGACAGGGATGGGTAGGGTGGGAATGGTTTCAGGATGATTCAAGGGCATTATATTTATTGTGCACTTTATTTCTATTATTATTACATTGTAATATATAATGAAATAATTATACAACTCACCATACCATAGGAACAGTGGGAGCCCTGAGCTTGTTTTCCTGCAACCAGATGGGGGTGATGGGAGACAGTGACAAATGATCAGGCATTAGATTCTCATAGGGAACGCACAGCCTAGATCCCTCACGTGCGCAGTTCACAATAGGCTTCGTGCTCCTGTGAGAATCGAGGTGAAACCCAGGTGGTAATGCTCCCTCGCCCTCTGCTCACCTCCTGCTGTGTGGCCCAGTTCCTAACAGGCCATGGTATACCAGTCTGTGGCCCAGGGATTGGGCCCCTGATCTATTCTGTCCTAGGATCTCCAGCCTTCTGAAAAGACGCTCAGAGGGAGCTCTCTGCATTTAAAGGCAGCTGTTGAGTTGAGTATGATGTAATCCCAGTGCTTTGAGAGGCCAGTATAGGAGGATCACTTAAGGCCAAGAGTTCAAGACCAGCCTGGGCAACATAATGAGATTCCATCTCTACAAAACATTAAAAATTAGCTGCTAATGGTGGCACATGCCTGTAGTCCCAGGTAGTTTGGGAGGCTGAGGTGAGAGGATGCTTGAGCCCAGGAGGTCAAGGCTACAGTGAGCAGTGATGGCATCACTGCACTTCAGCCTAGACGACAGCACAGGATTCATCCCTACAATAAAAAATTAAACTGGTGCGGTGATGGGCACTTGTAGTTCAGCTATTTGGGAGACAGAGGCGGGAGGATTACTTGAAACCAGGAGTCTGAGGTTACAGTTAGCTATAACTGTGCCACCACACTCCGGCCTGGGTGACAGAGCAAGACCCTGTCTCTACAATAACAGTAAACAAAGGCAGTTTAATTAAACTGTTCTGGCTGGGCACGGTGGCTAACTCCTATAATCCCAGCACATTGGGAGGCTGGGACGGGCGGATCACTTGAGCTCAGGAGTTCAAGACCAGCCTGGCCAACATAACGAAACCCTGTCTCTATTAAAATAAAAATACAAAAATTAGCCGGGTGTAGTGGTGCACACCTGTAATCCTAGCAACTTGGGAGGCTGAGGCACAAGAATCGCTTGAACCCAGGAGGCAGAGGTTGCAGTGAGCCAAGATCACACCACTGCACTCCAGCCTGAGCAACAGAGCAATACCCTGCTCCAAAATAATAATAATAATAATAAGTAACTGTTCTTTCCCCACCTGCCCACTTAGAGCTTTCAAGATTTAAACTATATTCACATCCAGGGTCAGCTAAAACCTGTTACTTGCTCTACTAGTAATAAATGACAACAACAAAACCCAGAAACAACCTAAAATGTTCGATATTCACCATTAGAATAGTTTAAGTACTTCCTTGAAGTGGGAAATACATTGAGCAGTTAGTTATATTCAAAAGATTTAATGAATGACTTGGGAATCAGACTATTGCGATGTTAGGTGAATTTGAAGTAGTCTACAGAATTGTGGGGTCTCATCTCTACATTACCTAAATGTCCCCCTGACCCCATCTTCTGTCTTCTCACTCCAGGGGTATTGAGTGATCTCAACAGACTGGCTCCTTCTGACTGAGATGCACAGTCTGGGAGAAGGAAGGGGATGGGGCTCTCTCAAGGGGTTTAAAGCACTATCCATGGACTCAATGTCCAGCCCCCACTGATGCCCCCTCTGTCCTCCCCTGTTGCAGGAATGTTCTGTGTTCACCTCTCTCTGGGCATTTTCCTTCTGAGTCCAGTGGTGTGCTGGTAAATGTCTAACCAGTTCTCTGGGGAGGAATTTGTATAAATCAAGAGCCCTGATGTGTAGCATTTGCCAATTACCATGGTGTAAATACTCCCAGCATGGCCAATTTCAAGCTATAAATATGGGGCCACTGAACTGAGCTGGAAAGAAATGGGTATAACCAGTTCTTGCAAGCTGGGATAAGCCAGCTCTACACACCACTGCTTGAGTCCCACTGTTCCAAAGGAGGGGTTTCACTACGCTGTGGCTTCTAGTTTATCATCCTCTCAAGTTACCTGGTCTTATCTTTGTTTAAGCAGAGACACATTTGGAGGCCGGAACAGGACATATTCAATCTGGTCTTGTACCATGTCCTGAACCACCATCATCATCATCTTCCCAGAACCCAGGAGCCGACGGTACCCAGACTCTGTCCACACCATGGTGATTTTTTTTTTTTTTTTTTTTTTGAGACAGAGTTTCACTCTTGTTGCCCAGGCTGGAGTGCAATGGCATGATCTCAGCTCACCACCACAACCTCCGCAGGAGGCTGCGCAACCACTGCAACCTCTGCCTCCCAGATTCAAGCAATTCTCCTGCCTCAGCCTCCCAAGTAGCTGGAATTACAGGCATCCACCACCACGCCTGGCTAACGTGTGTGTGTGTGTGTGTGTGTGTGTATTTTTATATATATATATATTTTTTTAGTAGAGACGGCGTTTCACCATGTTGGCCAGGCTGATCTCGAACTCCTGACCTCAGGTGATCCACCCACCTCGGCCTCCCAGAGTGCTGGGATTACAGGTGTGAGCCACCCTGCCTGGCCTACCATGGTGACTTTTTAAGGAGCCTCCCATGCCCCTCCTTGTAATGTAGCTTCCATCAGACCTCCTTAATTGTCTGTACTGTATGGACCCCAGGTATTGACAGAATTCAGGGGTTTTCCCATGGAGTCCTGGGCCACTTGTCAATCAGCTGTGACTGGATAACGGGTTATAAGGGAAGGGGGATGGCAGCCAAACTCCACATGAAGTTTCTGGGACCCACACTTCTTTCTCGTTAGCCTATGACAGTTTTTACTCTTGTCTAATTTCCAGCACCAGTCTCTCACCCGAAGCACACACAGCTTTCCTGCTCAGCTCCTGGGGGCCACTCCTCCCACACACAGCACCAGGCTCAAGGTGCATGTTCTATCCTATCCACTGGGAGGGCTTTTTCCATGCCCTCTTCTCTGAGCACCCACCCTGTGTGCTGCCACGCTGCGAGGCAGCTTCCAGGAGCTCCAAGAGTCATAGAAACCAACCTCATACTAAAAAATGTAATATCAGGCTGGGCACCCAAGGGGATTTTTTCATCCCTTCTTCTCTACCAGATTGAGTCTAACTTCAATCTCTCCTGGTCCTGTTATCCCCTTTAGGCCTCTCTGAGGACGCAAGAAGATTCAAAGCACTGACCGCTGAAACCATGGAAAGATTGGTTCCCTAATCTAAGAAGGCTAAGACATGATACTTGCAGCTTGCTTCC